CGTGGGGCTTATGACTAAGACTTTACCCCCCTAGGACGTAAAATACAGTTATCATGCGTGGACTATTATTAACTGAAGATAGTTAAGATGAAAAGCACAATAGAGAAAAAAAAATCAAAAGTGATATTTGAGAAAAATACACAAAAATACAAATTTTCAAACATACGCACACAAATAGCAAGCAAGCACACGCAGTTGAAACATGTTAAAATATATATATATATATATATATATATATATATATTTGAAGGGAAACATAAACAAAGAAATGCTTTTTGCTTTGATTTTAGAAACTTTGTCCTTTAAATTCTCTTTATCGATATCATGAGACGGGCTCTTTACTATACTCAGGAAGTGCCACGCAACGAGTAAGTTGGTCAGATAAACACACACACCACACTGACTACACAAAATCAGGCAAACATAAATGAGTTAAGCAGGGCTCTTTTCCAAGAAATAAAGAGTTAAAAGGCTTCCACACCCTCTCTTATGCATCCTGACTTCGTACCTATACAGTTTTTCAGTAGATAACCTTTAGCCACCATGATTATTTTCTTCCCACAGCTCACCATTTACCATCGAGTACTTTTAGTGGTATATCTCCTACACCAGGTACTTTTTTTTCTCATCCAATTATTTACTTTATCGTTAATTTTTCATTTTGTTTCAATTTGTGAGTTACCAATTATGAAATTTATTTCAGCAAGTTTACATATTGCAGAAATGCAACATAATCTCGTGTACATCCTATTTGCCCTTTAGAGCTAAGGTGCTAGTACTTTCTTTTTCCCTAGATTCAACTAACACACGTCTTTTTTTTTGGTTTATTCCTTTTCAAGTTGCATGTACTTAACAAATAAATTAGGAAGTACTAACATATCCTATTTTTGATCGTGCCTTCCTTGTCTTCACAGCATCGATATCACCAATGTCAACAGCCATGCTGCCACCTGCCTCTGGTAAGACTGTATGACACTTTAGTATTTCGTAAATAAGGCTAAATTCCCGGAGATATGTTTAATGTCTAAATAAGAATTGATAGTCTAACTTATGTTGTTGACTTTTTTAGGATCCTGTCTCTACAATCTATATGGACCACAGGGAAATTTTAGCACTCCAAACTACCCACAAAACTACGGCCACAATGTCCATTGTACTTGGCTTATTACGACATCACCAGGTTCTTACATTTTCCTCCGCTTTGATCATTTCCATCTGGAGGGTAGTCATGGAAGTTGCCCTTACGACTACGTACGGATATATGATGGAAATTCTTATCAAAGCCTAACAATGAGACGCTGCGATTATCAAGATTCCTGGTGCATTTACAGCCACAGTAACATCCTTTACGTACACTTCCAAACAGACGGTTCAGTTTCCTACCCTGGTTTCACTGCCTTTTATGAAAAAGTCTCTGAGAGATACGTAGCCTGCAAAGTCAATTCGAGTAAGGCTACGTTTATTCTTACATTTATCCGCATGTCTGATGGTAACTTTTCAAAAAAATATGCAAAGCAATACCGATAGACGCATACTTAAGTAGAACAGGAAGAAGGACAGGTAGGCAGGCAGTGGTTTGTAGTGAGCTGATTTCTCGGAAGTCCTCTCTTTGGGGCTGCTATGAAATGGTCTCTATTCGTTTGCCTTTGAACTCCTCTTCCAGATCCGCCAAGGAAAGCCCAGAGTATACTTTTGTCATTTGCTCGCTAATTTTGCAAGCTTATCTGTCCCCCTTTTCCCTCCTCCTTTCCACCTTTCTATCTTCACAATACCAGGTTGACGAACAGAACAAGGATGGTGATATTCTTGTTTTCTTGTTTACATGAAACTAAGTAGTTGAGTGCGGATTAAAGCTTACTGAATTTCGAACTGTTGGTAAGATGTCCAACTTGAGTGGTCTCAAGTTAGTATTCTCTCGATGATCTTCACAATCAAAATATTTACTATAACAGTGCTTGTGTTGTGCTCATGTTCCTTCGAATTTCAATGGACAATATTGATCCTGTGAAGTACTTTTGCAAGACTTAGCACTGATTGCATATTTTTTTCTTTATTCATTATCACATTTTAAAGTGTATGATGGTGTAAGCTAATCGTCTGTAGCCCTGAGAAGGACTGTTGTCGGCACTACTGACTGTCGTTTAGACAATTAACCTGAGCAGACGTCATCATCAGAGTCTTGAACCCATTTCCTGTACTTTAGGGTATCACTAACTATAGAAAATGTTAGGTGACAGTCGGTGTGTCAAACGTTTTCTTTGTCTGAGCAAAACGTTTATACCGGTTAAATGACCATTCTTGCTAGGAACTTCTTGTGATGTTTATTTTCATTTACAGACATCTCTTCAAGCACTCCTACTACTTAAGTTGGTAATTATCTTGTTTCTGTTGTTGCTACCACTGCCACTCCCACCACCACTATCACTGTCCCTACCATTACGACTAACCCATAATGATACAACTGCCACTAACACTACCACTTACACCGACATCACAACCACCTTTCGGCTACACTGTTATCGCAATCATAACCACCTCCAGTACCACTCCTTCTACCACTAGCACTACTACGTTCAACACTAATTTTACTACCACGACCACCACAACTAGCGCTAGTATTTCCTTTAGTATTTCCACCACTTCTGTTGTGGAAATTGAGAAGGTAAGATATATAAGGAAACTGCAGTCAAACTGAAAAAAAACAGGCTCTTAAGGGATTTAGTTACGAACAGATCTAATTAAATTTGACTCATACACGGAAAGGAAATATTCAAAGAGGCAGATTGACTAAAAGCATACAACTGTTAGTAACATCTGTCTCGGCATAATTCATAGGTGAAGTCAACTTCGAAGCTTTTACGTGATTATCATTTTCCTTTTACAGGTAGCGAGTCTACCTCATCTGCTTCCAATATATCACCTTCTCCAGGTATTTCACTATTTTCTTTTTTCTTTTGTCTTTTTTTGTAAACGCTGTTGTTGGATTTCATTCTATCATACATGTATTTAAATTCTCTTTAAGAAAATGTACATGCGTCTTCCGGCAGCATTAAAAACAACCCAATAGATTTGCTATTAAACAATAGGAGTAATAAAAGTCTTTTTCTATTTCCCTTTTTGAATGAAGCAACTTCCATATCTTCAACGGCGTCAGCCATGCTACCGGCTCTTCCAGGTAAGACTAGGAGTTTTAATGACTGTTTCTACCGTGAAACGTTATTGACCTTGTTCAAATGGAATGTTAAAACTAAAATCATGTACACGATAATAGAGAGATGAAGATAACGTTACATTAATCATGTTTCAATTTTGTCTGTTTCAGGATCCTGTCTTTACAACTTAGGAGGCCAGTACGGATATTTCCACAGCCCAAATTACCCATCTAACTACGACCACCATCTTTATTGTGTTTGGGTTATTACTGTACCAAATGGCTACTACATATACCTCCGCTTTGATCATTTTCATCTGGAAGGTAGCTCTGGAAGTTGCCCTTTCGACTACGTGCAGATATATGACGGAACGTCTCACCAAAACCTCACAATAAAGCGCTGCGATCAACAAGACTCTTGGTGTGTTTACAGTCACAGCAACGTCCTTTATGTATATTTTGTGACGGATCATTCTGTATCCTACTCTGGTTTCGCTGCTTATTATGAAAGAGTCCATGAAACATATTATGTCTGCCTGCATCCAAATGCAAGTAAGGATATGACCAGAAAGGTTTTCCAATAGTAATCTATTTTCATTGAATTCTGCTTGTTATTGATTGGATTTATTTTGCCTGAAAATATTTATAATATTTACAATATCTAAATGTGAATGTATATAGTTCTCTTCTTGTTCTTGGCGAGGAAGCTCATTTCGAATGCCTGGGGGCTTATGACTAAGACTTTCCCCCTAAGACTTAAAATACAGTTATCATGCGTGGACTGTTATTATTATGGAGATAGTTAGGATAAAAAGGACAATAGAGAAAAAAACAAAAAAAGGGATTCTTAAAAAAATAAAGAAAAATACAAACACGCACACAAGAAGCAAGCGAACAGACGCGCTTAAAACATTTTGGAAGGGAAAAAGATATTCCTATATAGTGAGGAATCACGAAACAGGCTTGTAGGGATAAAAGTAGTTTCTCTGTCTTTCTACCCTATTGCAACGTGTATATATAAAAAAAAAAAAATATATATATATTTTAAGGAAAAAAGAACAATGAAATACTTTTAGCATTGATTTTAAAAACTTTGTCCATTAAATTATCTTTATCGATATCATAAGACGAGCTCCTTACTGTACTCAGTGCGTGCCACACAATGAGTTAGTTGGTCAGATAAACACACACACCACACTGACTACACAAAATCAGGCAAACATAAATCAGTGAAGCAGGGCCCTTTTCCAAGAAATAAAGGGTTAAAGGGCTTGCACACATTTTCTTGTGTATCCTGACTTCGTACCTATACAGTTTTTCACTAGATAACCTTTAGCCACCATGATTATTTTCTATCCACAGCTCACCATTTACCATCGAGTACTTTCAGTGGTATATCTCCTTCACCAGGTACTTTTTTTTCTCATCCAATTATTTACTTTATCGTTAATTTTTCATTTTGTTTCAATTTGTGAGTTACCAATTGAAATTTATTGCAGCAAGTTTACATATTGCAGGAATGCAACATAATCTCGTGTTCATCCTATTTGCCCTTCAGAGCTAAGGTGCTAGTACTTTCTTTTTTCCTAGATTCAAACAGCACACACGTCTTTTTTTTTTGGTTTATTCCTTTTCAAGGTGCATGTACTTAACAAATAAATTAGGAAGTACTAACATATCCTATTTTTGATCATGCCTTCCTTGTCTTCACAGCATCGATATCACCAATGTCAACAGCCATGCTGCCACCTGCCTCTGGTAAGACTGTATGACACTTTAGTATTTCGTAAATAAGGCTAAATTCCCGGAGATATGTTTAATGTCTAAATAAGAATTGATAGTCTAACTTATGTTGTTGACTTTTTTAGGATCCTGTCTTTACAATCTATATGGACCACAAGGAAATTTTAGCACTCCAAACTACCCACAAAACTACGGCCACAATGTCCATTGTACTTGGCTTATTACGACATCACCAGGTTCTTACATTTTCCTCCGCTTTGATCATTTCCATCTGGAGGGTAGTCATGGAAGTTGCCCTTACGACTACGTACGGATATATGATGGAAATTCTTATCAAAGCCTAACAATGAGACGCTGCGATTATCAAGATTCCTGGTGCATTTACAGCCACAGTAACATCCTTTACGTACACTTCCAAACAGACGGTTCAGTTTCCTACCCTGGTTTCACTGCCTTTTATAAAAAAGTCTCTGAGAGATACGCAGCCTGCAAAGTCAATTCGAGTAAGGCTACGTATATTCTTGCATTTATCCGCATGTCTGATGGTAACTTTTCAAAAAATTATGCAAAGCAATACCGATAGACGCATACTCAAGTAGAACAGGAAGAAGGACAGGCAGGCAGGCAGGCAGTGGTTTGTAGTGAGCTGATTTCTCGGGAGTCCTCTCTTTGGGGCTGGTGTGAAATGGTCTCTATTCGTTTGCCTTTGACCTCCTCTTCCAGATCCGCCAAGGAAAGCCCAAAGTACACTTTTTTGTCATTTGCTCGCTAATTATACAAGCTCATCTGTCCCCTTTTTCCCTCCTCCTTTCCACCTTTCTATCTTCACAAATACCAGGTTGACGAACAGAACAAGGATGGAGATATTCTTGTTTTCTTGTTTTCATGAAACTAAGTAATTGAGTGCGGATTAAAGCTTACTGAATTTCGAACTGTTGGCAAGATGTCCAGCTTGAATGGTCTCAAGTTAGTATTCTCTCGATGATCTTCACAGTCAAAAAATTTACTTTAGCAGTACACTCCCAGGCAAAACAACTAAAAATCACACCACTTCAGTTTTAATAATTTCCTTTGTTTCAGTTTGGATCTCTGTGAAACTTGTTGTCTCCTCCTGCTCAATATAGCTAGAGAATTCGAAAGAATTTAGAACCTTGACTTTACAGTGGGAGTAATCTCAATTTTTATTTGATTTTGTAAACCTTGTAATTGATTTCTACTTTAGAATTTTCTCACGCTTTAACATCTTGGTTTACTCCTTTCGCATTTCTTCTAATTACTATTTATCATTCACCTTTGGTATAGGATGGTATTTTGTCATAAAAATTGTACTTACTCACTGTGATTATGTTTCTTCGAATTTCAATGTACAATATCGATCCTGTGAAGTACTTTTGCATGACTTAGCACTGATTGCATATTTTTTTCTTTATTCATTATCACATTTTAAGGTGTATGATAGTGTAAGCTAATCTTCTGTAGCGCTGAGAAGGACTGTTGTCGGCACTACTGACTGTCGTTTCGACAATTAACCTGAGCAGACGTCATCATCAGAGTTGTGAACCCATTTCCTGTACTTTAGGGTATCACGAACTAAAGAAAATGTTAGGTGACAGTCGGTGTGTCAAACGTTTTCTTTGCCTGAGCAAAGGGGTCATATTGGTTACATCATCATTCCTGCTAGAAACTTCTTGTGTCGTTTATTTTCATTTACAGACATCTCTTCAAGCACACCTACCACTTAAGTTGGTAATTATCTTGTTTCTGTTGTTGCTACCGCTGCCACTCCCACCACCACTATCACTGTAGGTACCATTACAACTAACTGATACAACTACTACTTACACTACCACTTTCACTAACATCGCAACCACCTTTCGGCTACACTGTTATCACAACCATAACCACCTCTAGTTCCACTCCTTCTACCACTAGCACTACAACGTTCAACACTAATTTTACTACCACGACCACCACAACTAGCGCTAGTATTTCCTTTACTATTTCCACCACTTCTATTGTGGAAATTGAGAAGGTAAGATAGTTAGGGAAACTGCGGTCAGACTGAAAAAACAGGCTTTTAAGGGATTTAGTTACGAACATATCGGATGAAATTCGACTTATACACAGAAAGGACGTAGTCAGAGAGGCAGATTGACCAAAAGGATACAACTGTTAGTAACATTTGTCTCAGCATAATTCCTAGTCGAAGTCAACTTCGAAGCTTTTACGTGATTATCATTTTCCTTTTACAGGTAGCGAATCTACCTCATCTGCTTCCAATATATCACCTTCTCCAGGTATCTCATTATTTTCTTTTTTATTTTGTCTTTTTTGTAAATGCTGTTGTTGGATTTCATTTTGTTATACATATACTTATATTCTCTTTAAGAAAAATGTACATGCGTCATCTGGCAGCGTTCGAAGAACCTAATAGATATCTATCAACCACAGGAGTAATAAAAGTCTTTTTCTATTTCCCTTTTTGAATGAAGCAACTTCCATATCTTCAACGGCGTCAGCCATGCTACCGGCTCTTCCAGGTAAGACTAGGAGTTTTAATGATTGCCTCCACCGTGAAACGTTATTGACCTTGTTCAAATGGAATGTTAAAACTAAAATCATGTACACGATAATAGAGAATGAAGATAACGTTACATTAATCATGTTTCAATTTTGTCTGTTTCAGGATCCTGTCTTTACAACTTAGGAGGCCAGTACGGATATTTCCACAGCCCAAATTACCCATCTAACTACGACCACCATCTTTATTGTGTTTGGGTTATTACAGTACCAAATGGCTACTACATATACCTCCGCTTTGATCATTTCCATCTGGAGGGTGGTTTTGGAAGTTGCCCCTACGACTACGTGCAGATATATGACGGAACGTCTTACCAAAGCCTAACAATAAGACGCTGCCATTATCAAAACTCTTGGTGTGTTTACAGTCACAGCAACGTCCTTTATGTATATTTTGTGACGGATCATTCTGTATCCTACTCTGGTTTCACTGCTTATTATGAAAGAGTCCATGAAACATATTATGTCTGCCCGCATCCAAATGCAAGTAAGGATATAACCAGAAAGGTTTTACCAATAGTAATCTATTTTCATTGAATTCTGCTTGTTATTGATTCGATTTATTTTTACAGAAAATCTTTACAACATTTGCGATATCCATGAGTGAATATATACAATATTCTTCCTATTCCTGGCGAGGAATCTCATTTAAAATGCCTGGGGCTTATGACTTTACCCCCCTTAGACTTAAAATACAGTTATCATGCGTGGACTTTTATTAACTGAAGATAGTTAAGATAAAAAGCACAATAGAAAAAAAAAAACAAAAACAAAAAAGATTCTTGAGAAAAATGCACAAAAATACTAACACTAACTACTACGCACTCAAATAGCAAACAAGCATGTTTCAAAACATGTTTAATATATATATATATTTGAAGGGAAACAAGAACAAAGAAATGCTTTTAGCCTTGATTTTAAAAACTTTGTTCATTAAATTATCTTTATCGATATCATGAGACGGGCTCTTTACTGTACTTAGCAAGTGCCACGTAACGAGTAAGTTGGTTAAATAAACACACACACACCACACTGACTACACAAAATCAAGCAAACATAAATGATTTAAGCAGGGCTCTTTTCCAAGAAATAAAGGGTTAAAGGGCTTGCACACCCTTTCTTATGGATCCTGACTTCGTACCTATACAGTTTTTCAGTAGATAACCTTTAGCCACCATGATTATTTTCTTCCCGCAGCTCACCATTTACCGTCGAGTACTTTCAGTGGTATATCTCCTTCACCAGGTACTTTTTTTTCTCAGCCAATTATTTACTTATCGTTAATTTTTCATTTTGTTCCAATTTGAGAGTAACTGATTGCAATTATTTTCAGCAAGTTTACATATTGCAGGAATGCAACATAATCTCGCGTGCATCCTATTTACCCTTCAGAGCTAAGGTGCTAGTACTTTCTTTTTTCAAATCACATCTATTTTTTTTGGTTCATTCCTTTTTAAGTTGCATGTACTTAACAAATAAATTAGGAATTACTAACATATCCTATTTTTGATCATGCCTTCCTTGCCTTCACAGCATCGATATCACCAATGTCAACAGCCATGCTGCCACCTGCCTCTGGTAAGACTGTATGACACTTTAGTATTTCGTAAATAATGCTAAATTCCCGGAGATATGTTTAATGTCTAAATAAGAATTGATAGTCTAACTTATGTTGTTGACTTTTTTAGGATCCTGTCTCTACAATCTATATGGACCACAAGGAAATTTTAGTACTCCAAACTACCCACAAAACTACGGCCACAATGTCCATTGTACTTGGCTTATTACGACATCACCAGGTTCTTACATTTTCCTCCGCTTTGATCATTTCCATCTGGAGGGTAGTCATGGAAGTTGCCCTTACGACTACGTACGGATATATGATGGAAATTCTTATCAAAGCTTAACAATGAGACGCTGCGATTATCAAGATTCCTGGTGTATTTATAGCCACAGCAACGTCCTTTACGTACACTTCCAAACAGACGGTTCAGTTTCCTACCCTGGTTTCACTGCCTTTTATGAAAAAGTCTCTAAGAGATACGCAGTTTGCAAAGTCAATTCGAGTAAGGCTACGTTTAGTCTTGTATTTATCCGCATGTCTGGTGGTGACCTTTCAAAAAATTATGCAAAGCAATACCGATAGACAAACACGCAGGTAAAACAGAAGGAAAGACAGGTAGGCAGCAGACTGACTGAGAGACAGACAGACAGACCGACAGACAATTCGCTCTGACGAAGGGTAAACGCTTGAAACGTCAGTTTAGAAACTCTTTCCGGTGGCCACTCTACATTATCAACCTATTTGATAAAACCAAACTATCTTGTTATATTTCCTCACCGACGCAGCACCACAGTTTCTTTTAAACCTCACTCCTTTAAATAAACATATATTCAGGCAAGAAACAAGACAACAGACTGGTGAGTAGACCTACGGAGAGACAGATACAGAACGGGAAGAAGTCTTTGCCATCTGGCTTATGAGGTTACTGGCATTTGTCATGTGTCTCCCTGTTCAAAAAATTCGTCATGACGGTTGTTGTGTCTGACAAAATTTTTCAAATTACGCGGTTAGGAGATTACAGTACATTCAGAACAATAGCATACGTCCACATTTTCTTGTTAAGTAATAGACAAGCTTTGGAAAAACATTAATATTCCTGAAGTGAGAAACGTGGTAACAATACCTTTCCACTTCCTTTCACAGGTATCTCACAAGGCATAACACCTACTTCAGCTGGTATTTTTTGTTTTATTCTTCTTCTACGACTACAACAACCACTTCTGCAACTACCATGACCTATACCATTATTACCGTTACTAATACTACGACTACTTCTTCTACTAGTTTCACTGAAAAGCAAGGAATTTGTGTTTATAAGGAATTAAATGGAAAAATAAAAACCATCGAACAAACACTAGCAATAGATAAAAACAATTTTACCAAAGGGGTTGGGGTTGGCAAACACAATTAAACAAAGAATCTGTAAACTAAAGATACCTGTTGGAATCGTCGTGTGCGAAATTTCCCGACTTTTTTTCATTCAACTAAAAACATTTAGACTCAGTGATGACGTAACTCTTGATGATGAATTCGATGAATGCAAGAGGAAGCCTCACCAATTTTGTTTTCCCCACAGCTCCACGGGCATCCGCTAGCGCAGCTCCTTCATTTCCTTCAGGTTGTGTTTCAACCCTTTTCTATCTCATCTACCATCAAATGAATATATATTTGTAATATCAACTTGTGGTTTTAGTAGGTAAATCGGAATAGAACTCAGTTTCTTTGAATATGTGGATCGTAAGGGATTTTCATTGGCTTAAAAGAATCGATTAAAAGCTCATGCGATTGGTTGGACACTTTTACCAAAATGGCTCGCTAGATTATTATTATTATAATTATTATTATTATTATTATTATTATTCAGCTGTTTGCAGAGTTCAACAAACAGCGATGACCATTGACTTGCTTTAAAGCTTTTTGTGTGGCTTTCAACATCGTTGAATCATCGCTATGTTAATAATAATTAGTAATGCACCTCATTATTGATGTTGTTGTCCCTTTTTGATGTTGCTGTCTCTTTTGTCTTTATCAATTTGTTTTCCTCTTTTGCATTCAGAATGCCATTACCACTCATACCTAACAGAGGCAGAAAGAAGGATGAGTTACTATAACGGCTTCAACGGATATCTCCAATGTGATAACTTGTTACCGTTTGGATGGTATCGATTTGGTGGTGCAGCAGGAACAGAGATGCCTACGTCCTGTGTAGGAAAAAATCGATGTGGCACCCATGCACCGGGTTGGTTGAATGGCTCGCACCCGCGAGCAATTGATGGAATTGTCCGTGCTAAAGTGTGTTTCCATTGGGGTTCTGATTGTTGCTTGTGGTCTGCCAGCATCCGCGTTCGTAACTGTAGCGGTTTCTACGTGTACGAGCTTGTGCCCCCGCCAACTTGTCACCTTCGTTATTGTGGTAATGGTGGAGGTAAGACATACAGGCGTACAATTAATGTAAGAAACAGCAGACAGAAAGACAGACAATTGCAAGAGACACTCAAATATCAGACAGACAGACAAATGGTTTAGAGGCAAACATACAGACAAACAGCAGACACATTCAAATGGACAAACAGGGATAAACGAACAACATACAAATGGACGGACCGACCACAGACTGACACACAAAAAAAGAAAGTAAAGCCGTGATGGAGCTTGTGATATAGATTAAAAGGAGGGTTGTAGAGACAGAACATATAATTTATAACGAGTGAGGTCATAGTAGATACCATATATGCCTTTATCTCAATACGAGTAAGAAGTAGGATTTTTACGCAAACATTTCACTGTTCACGTGGTTAAATTATGGCCTGAATTAAAAAAAGGAAAGCTAGGAATCCCGGTGAATCATCCGACCAATCGATCAATTAATCCATCGATAGCTGAATAAACGAAGCTTACATCTCTCCGGTTAAATCATTGGAGAAACCTCGCAGATTGTATTCGTTTATGAGGAAACGTAAGTTACATTTAAATTAAAGGTACTATGATTGTGATTGACTGAATGATGTCAATGAATATTCATTTATTTTGTTTTCAGCTCTAAATCCAACTAGTATCGCACCAACACCCAGTGAGTACCTTTTCTTTTAAAATGAATTTAGTTTCAGCTGTTCTACTCCGATTGATTTTTTGTGATTTCTTCGTAAACAGGACGAACTGAAATGCATGTGTAAGATTAAACCGAAGACACTCTACCACTTCTAAAATTCTTTATTCCTCTCTGATTAAATTACTGAAGAAATAGTCGTCTTAAGAATATTGGATGAACGAAATATATCTTATGTCTGAGCCTAAAAATGTAATTATGCATTTTTTTAAAAATAATACTTAGTGGTTATGAATTTCAATACTTAGTACAGTCATTCTTATTCATTCTTGCTTTTTAAAGCCCAGTCTATTGCCGCCGTTACCCCGGCTATTCCTGGTAAGTGAAGCGTGGTAGAAATCAAAACATACCCTTGTAGCATTTTAAGTGAAGGTGTTAATTTGGATGCTACATGGTGTGAATTTCTATGAAGTTTAATTGGAGCCAGCCACATAGATCTCGGTTCAGAGTTAAACGATTCCGCTGACCACTAAATCAGTGTAAAAGATGGTGTTAACTGGATCGATGGTGGCAAACGTCCTGCATAATACAAGAATAGGAATGCAGAATGTGTGTTTTTGCGCAGTTAGGATGTAAATAAAGATGGTAAATTAATTTGAAACTTGGTTATGTAAATGAACGCTGAGTCAATGCTTTTCTCAAGGCCTTAGACCTATGCCCTATCTGAAGCGAGGATACTTTGCTGGCGCGAACTTTCCAGATAACTATCCAGTCAGCATGAATACAAATAGACGATCACTATAAATCAGAGACCAAAGAATCCATTTAAGTTCAATATAGTAGTTTTTTTATATATATATTTAAATTCTCTCTCTCATAGGAAACTGTTTCCACCACCTCAACCAACCTTCGGGTAGCTTTGAGAGTCCAGGCAAACCAGGTTGTTACCCGAACAACAAGCACTGCGCCTGGCTGCTCGAAGCTCCTGTTGGTCAATACATCGAGCTACGTTTCTATTCTTTCCATTTGGAATACGGATCTTCTAACTGCCCGTGGGATTATGTCGAAATTCTTGACGGCAACTCATTGCACAGTCCTATTCTTGTCAAGGCGTGCGGCCAGTTGGCATGGTGGAGATTGTACAGTAGTGGGAGGTTCCTCATGGTGCTGTTCAATTCGGACGGTATTATCGGGATGCCTGGATTTTCTGCTTATTACCGAGCTTCATATTATAGTAAGAGGAATAAATTAATTCCTTTAAAACCTTTCTTAAATAACAATGTTTAGTTGAAAGTTTCGTGGTGTAAATGATATATTTTAAGGGCTTCGGGTAAGTCAATTTGAATTAAAAATTTAAACGAAATTGCAAGTTGAAACGGTTTTCAAGGTTAGTCAAGTCGTACCTTCCAAGTAGTAAATTGTTTGGACTTAACGAGTTTTAAATAATTTAATAGAGATAAGCTACAGCTAACTCTTAGAATCGTAAATAACATCTTGCGCTTAATGTTAGAAGCTTTTTTTCTTGACATATACAAATCCAAGCTCTTCCTCGTACGCAGGATACAACATTCCATTACCAAGCCAACAAGTGTCAATAACAAGCCCAGTGCAGTGTTTTCCTACGCAGACACAAACTGCCACCCCTTTCACGTCAAATGGTAAGTGAACGAAACCTGTGCTTATAACACACGCTTTTTTGTAATGATTTACGCTTATCTATCCGGAGTTTGCCATATTTTTTTGAACAACCTTCTCGCCCAAGCGTAATTTCTTTTTAAACCTCCAGTTTGTCACATAATGATCATGTTTCGAAAAAATTATGTAACGAACGCACCGGTAAATTTATCAGCATATATTAACTTTGTCATTGATTTCTAAAATATGCCGAGAAATGACCTAAATCTAACAGTAATTTACAGTGATACAATACAAGGTAAACGAAAATTGAACGGAGAAAGGACAGCAACAACGTAATGGCAGTTAGAATACGTGTTCAAAACGAAAACTCGAGAATAAGCCGACATGGAGACACTAGCAGAAAACCAACAAATTTGGCGTGAAAACTTTTAAAGCTTTAACTCCCAGAAGTGATAATTATGTAATTTCTCTCTATAATATCCATACATCATCCAGCAAACAGGTAATGGGAATACTCAATCTTATCAGGAAGCAGTTATTATATTGATCTAACACCAAATTCTGTATAGCAACTAGAGGGGAGAATTAACAACCAGATTATAGTTGTAACTAGTTATAATTGAAACCGCTGAAAGACCATGCAATAAGTACAAAAATTTACAATTGAAATTTTGAATTAATTATTTATGCTGAAAGAATTAACCGGATACACCAAATACACCAACGGACTAAGTGAGTGAGGATAAAAATAACAGTAGAAGAACTGTCTATTCTTGTTTACAGTGCACGGAATCCAACCAACACCTGCTTCTGCAATGACATCGACTTTCTATGCTGCTTCAAGTGTAAATGTCCAGCCAGATCCTTCCCAGTTCCAGTTTCATTTACCGGCGCAATGCGAACAAAGTTGTCACAACACGTTAGGAAGTTACACTTGCTCTTGCGTTAGTGGATACCAACTGGCCGCGGACGGGAAATCGTGCTCAGGTAAAATTGATTCTACGAAAATAAGTTTTGAGACTTTTTGTTTTTGATTCATTATTATAGTCTCGCAATAGATTTTCGTAGAACAGAAAAATACAAAAACGCTCTCTTTGACGCGTGCCTGATTGAAATAACAGATTGTGTTTTTGATGTTCAGCTTAAATCCCAATTTATCGTTTGACGCGCGCCGGCCGTTTTAAACTTTACAAAGGTTACCGATCGATGAGCCCTTTACACCCATACATCAGAATGCATATTCTCCATACTGTTCTACACACACTTCTTGATGTGTTGACAAGGAGAATTTGTGTGACTTCTTTAGTTGGTGATCATTTCCTTTATTCTTATTACCTCTACGTATGATTTAGGGGTGATAATGTAAGGAACAAAATGAAATGTTATTCATTCCTAAGGTTAACGATATAGACCTCAGAATGCCCTAGTTGCTCTCCTCCTCTCGTGCGCGCTTTCCGTTCCCCTTAAGTGCCCATGGTAAGTTTAGCTTACTATTTAAATGTTTGAGGTGGCTGTGTGTTTCTCTTCAATTAATTTATAACTTATTTTTTTTCCCTTTCTCGCAGACGTTGATGAATGTTTGATCAATAATGGTGGCTGCAGCCACCATTGTTACAATATCCCTGGATCATATTATTGTGGCTGTCCGGAAGGAACCAGTATGGGTGCTAACAATTTGACTTGTGTTGGTAAGGAATGCTAAGCTAAGCTTTTCTGCATATGGTCACTGAAGGAAAATTCTGCTTCTGTTAAGAATGGGAATAAACAACGATCACCAAGGAAAGACGACTGACCGTTCCTTTAAGTGTATGTATATTTTTTCGGGAAAAGTATGATTTTTTTATCCAATGCAACAGCAGGCTTGACAAGATTCTTAGCAGCACTAATCAGTCTTAGGACACTTTTTCGGAGCCGGACCTTATTTTGTTACCCCTACTGTCCAAAAGATACACGTGTTCGCTCAATTGGAAGGAAAGTAGAAAAACATTGTGGATGCGTGGTAATTTTTTGTGACTCAACTATCTCAAAGTTATTATGGATTAAGCACGAGTAGTTGAGACACATTTAAATCCTGCTTAATTTAAGGCTATTGCTTTTAATTTCATCCTAGAGCCTGGTGTGTCTGTTAACTGCAGTGACATTATAACGGTTGCCTTAGAAAAGAAGACATTTCCATTTTTTGACGTTGCCCGACTACACTTGAGGTACTCATCATGTAAAGCCACACAGAATGACACCCATCTGCTGATCAGCACTCCTTTGAATGGTTGCGGAACACTGGTCAACGAGACTGAAGATGATCTGATCTTCTGGAATGAAATCCGAACGGAGGTGGTCCTTATCGACAATGTCATAACTAGATCACATGACGTCAAAATTCCATTTTATTGTAGTTATTCGAGAAGGAAATGGGTCAACCTGGGTTTCAAGCCTCAGCATCTACACTTTGGAACAGAAGGTAAATAAACCTTTCCAGCCCTCGTTCTGATCACTGCAAATCATCAACATGTATCTTTAGCTGAGGTACTTTCCTCCTGAGGAAGACGCCATCCTTTCATCACTAGAGTAGAAGGCAAATTTGTTTCAAACTTTAACACGTTCATGTGCTGAATGACTCTATCTTTTTCCGTTTTCCAGCTGGGTATGGAAACTTTACCTTTAAAATTGACTTTTACAAGAGTTCGTCATTTTCCACACCCTATACTGAGCAGGACTACCCGCTGAGCGTGCCAGTCAATCAGTATTTGTATGTGAGATACAGCGTGGAATCCAGTGCTGATCTGGCGATAATGGCTGTGACATGTAGGGCCACTAAAACTGGAAGCTTGTACTCCTGGCCACAATACTCTATTATACTGAATGGGTATGTATGTTACTCAAACATATTAGTAGGAATGATCTTCCTGGAAAAAATACGCAAGTTTCAGTCAAGTAGTCGACGATTCGTTATTTCATATCACCTAGATTTCTTTCTATAAAGACATCTATATGCTTAAGTTTCGTCGTCCCCTGTGCTGCGAAAGCTAAATGCAAAGTATGGAGGTGATCGGTGTTACTGAAGGACAACTTCAAACGTTTTACTGACTCTAACGGATGGACTTGGACCATATAGGCCATCATCACAATATTATTCCGGGGAAAACCTAATAGTACAAAAACAAAATCCTTTTTACATTTCCTTACCAAATATTCAAGCTTTTGAAAAGCTAAAATTACCAAGAAAAATCTATAAAGAGTTTATCAGTGGCTGCATGAATTAGAAAGAAACAGACTGAGGTTACAATGAGAAAAATATCCCACTGGTGCGCATGAATTATAACTTACTTCTTACTTTCACTACCTACAGTTGTCCGCGAGATACAACCATGGAATACAACTTTGATCCCCAAAGGAATTACCAGCAGTTTAAAATCAGAGCATTCAGATTCTTTAACGACTACGATCAGGTGTACATTCACTGCGAAGTTTTGGCCTGTCATAAATACTCTTCAAACTCCAGGTGAATTAACAAACTCGTACAGCCATACTAAAAGCATTCTCTTGATTGAGTGTCATTGAGATGAAGTCTGTACTCGAGCCTACTGACCCGTTCAGCCGGGGTTTATCCCAGTTTCCCTATAGCATGAAGCGACTAGAAATAAGACTGCTTCCCCGTGGATGTGATGCATCGCAAGGTTACCCCACAGCATTTCATTAGGCCTCCCTGACAATTCGTGGGTACCCATTTATACTGACTTTTCGAGCGTTAGCCCTTCGTCAGAGCGATAGACGAAGGGCGAATGTTCGAAATGTCAGCTTTTAAACTCTTTACAGTGGCCAATTTACGTTATCAACTCAGTTGACAATACTAAATTACCCTATTATACTATCCCATCGACGCAACACCACAGTCTCTTTATAAATTTACCTCCTTTATCCATCTACACTTCTGGGTGGAAAGAGGCAGTGTGAGAGTAAAGTGTCTTGTCTAAGAACACAACACATTGACCCAGCTGGGTATCGAACCAAGACCTCTCGACCATGAGTCCAGTGCACAAACACAACACATTGACGCGGCCAGGTCTCGCGCCAGGACCTCTCGGAGTCAGTGCACTGATTATTAGGCCATTATGTCTCCCACATTAGTGTGGTTAACAAACCTGTTGATCCTTTAGCTCCCATGAGTGACCAAGACAGAATTGTTCCCTATGGTATCAATACAATGTCAAGCAGACAAGTGATAACAATAAAGAAAAATACCTATGAGGGCATGATTAGTTGATCTACTACCAAATTCTCTAAACAAACATAGTGAGAATAATATGGCAGACAGTAAGGAGAATAAGTAATGGTATCTTGAGAGTGAAGGTAAATCGAAGTGATCACAGGGCCCAATCTGAAAAAGTTACATGATAACGGCCCGTAAATAGAGAGATATCACAAGTCAGTTACAACCGGTTTAGCTCAAGTACTTTATTTTTTCCCTTCGATACTCAACTGGAATTGCTTCGTTAACGTTTGCAATTGGCTACCTTTACTAGTACAAAATGCATATCAAACTGAAGATGCCACAGCCTCTCCCTTACCGACTTACGTCATTGCAGGACAACATCAAAACAATCAGTGACACCAACAAATAGCCAAGGAACCTCACCATCACTTAACATTATTCTTTAATGAGACAGGAAATATTGTTATTCATCGCTGCAATCCGGCGATACAATTGAGATCCTTACTATGAAGAGTGACACGAACGATTAATTATTGTTCTATATCTTGAATAGTTGAATTAAGATTATGAAGCAAAAGTAAACATTTTATCGAACTAGACCAATTTGTCCCAGCAACACTGTAGGCAAGAAGATGCCGAATAAACATTTATCACTAACAAACATCACAGCCACCCTTGAGAAATTTGAGTGCAATATGATTTCGTCACTCACAATATAACAAAGGCGTTAGAAGCTAATTCAAATCTTCTTCAACAACCTTGACAGGTGCACCCAAAGTTGTTTAGGCAGTAAGAAGAGAAAGCGGAGGGATGTTACCCGTGACGAAACAGAACATGAAGAGAGTACTACCAAAGTCACTCTTACACGAGGACCACTGATCATTCAACAGGACGAAGAACCAGGAGGCAAGTTCACATATAATGTGAAAAGATAAGGGATTGAAATAGAAAAGGTTTTCTCAAATACTGCAGAGCTTATGTTAAACATGTCAACAACGCTGTCTTGCCTAAATTTCAAATTTTCCTAGTTTGTCACTGGTTCAGAAATAATAATGATGATGAGAAAAACTTTCAAAACACAACTTAAAAAAGGAAATTCAGGTCCTAATATGTAAGTCGCATTTTCAGTTTCTCTATTGTCAAAAAGAAAAATATGAGTATTGAAGGATTTTGAAAATAGGTAAACTAAGGCGATTTTAGATCAAGTTGACAGTTGATTTTAGTTTCTTGCTTATAAATATTAAGTTGTTTCCCTCTCTCTTTTCTTCAACTAATTTCATTAACAGAAATAAGAAAAATGAGATTGAGTTATTTTTTCAATTTTAAATGTTTCCCTATCTTCGGTCTTCATTTGAGCTGTGATTCCTCTCCTGCACTCAAATTTCAGAAACTGGTCAAAACAAGCAAACTGCGCTGATAGGTGGCGTAGCAGGCGCTGGAGGATTTGCTCTGGTTGCAGTTGCTGCATTGGCTGTTTTATTTGTCAAGTACCGCATTGCACGACGGTTCATAAACAGAAACAAGGTTGGAGACCTGTACACAACCCAAGATGAACAGCTAAGCAGAAGAAATGCTTACGTTCAGCCTGAAGACATGGTCGAACAAGAAGACTCCTTCTAAATAAAAGCTATTCTTCTGAGTCCAGCTGCTCAAAGGACAGAGAACGCTATCAAACGGATAAAATCACTATCCAGTGGAAAAGTATGTAAAAACCGTACTACGCAATCCACCGGTTAGGAATTTATCCAATAAGAAAGCGTTATCCACCCTTTGAACAACCAAAGCCTGCATTGCTTACATATGTAGTTCAAGAAATGTCTTACGGCAGTTACGAGTGCTTTCATTGCAACCTCTGATAAAAATAAACATTCTAATCTAACTCCTGAGCAATTTTGCCTAAAATTTACGCAACTCTTTTGTTAGCCTACAATTTTACAGTGTGCAGTCTCTTAAAGACTGCAGGCCTAACTTTGAATAGATCGCTTTCAAATACATATCTAGAGAATGTTTTCAAGAATATGTAATCAAGAATATGTACCTTAATTAAGAACCTTTTATTGTTTTTAGCCAAGCTGGTTATCGTTTCTCTTTTTCAAACCTCCCTTTTCATTCGAATTTTTGTGTTTATCAGTTTTAGTCGCTTTGAAATATCGAAAAAATTAAATGAGTGCACTTTATCTCTTGACTCTCGAGTGTAACGAAAAGCTAAACTACGTCAACGAGGAGACAATATTTAAAAAAATTCCAAAGATGGAAGATCACACTGATCTGCCTTGAACAGGTAAGGTCAATAGCTGTTATTCGAAATGCTGTCTCACTGTCCTGAATCCTTCCCATCGTGTCTATTGTGATTGGAAGTTAGTTGCTGACAGTGTGGATAAAACAATTCAATTTTGACGGTAGACGGCGACATCTCAGACCTTTGACGGTTCAAGATTCAGGATAACGAAGTGAAACGAAGAGACTCAGCCTTTGTTCCTCAGTTGAGTCTACATTTTGGCGAATATTCAGAGACACCAAATTCAATTCCCAGAAATTCCTAAGAATTGCACCCTTCTTGCATTCCTTTTCTCAGGATTCCAAGTCCTCACAAAACTGGAGTCTTCCTTTCCCAGAAATTCCCAGTAATTCCAAGCTTTTAAAATCAGAGCTTACTTGCATGGTTGGGAATTTTTGAGAATTCCCAGAAAACTTGGAATTCAGTTCGCAAGGGGAATAGGCTCTCTTGTCGGTATCACTAATTTGCTAATCGCTCCTTTTGCCAACGATTGATGAGGTTAGGCTGTCAGGGCAAAGGAACTGAGGATTCAAGTGGGTAGTGACTTTTTCCAAACCTGGAAACTTAAATCATCATGAAAAGCCATACTTGTGCCTGGTAACATTCTTATTCTGGTAAACTAGTTTCATAAGAGGAATACAATATTTTATTACATAAATTTGATGTATAGGCTGTGTACAAAACTTTAATTTGACCATACTTTTGTAGCCAATACCTATCCCTACACATAATAAAATGGTAGAAGGATCAAAGGAAAAAATGTGCCATACATCTGCAAGATTTCATGTAATTATTTTCATTACATGGATACTAACTGATATTAGGAGATCTAAGAATATTCAAAAGAATATAAACTTTGGTTGTACATGTATTTACCAAGTGCTTAACTTTCCAGATTAGTCACCTAATTGTTAGAATCAAGTTCACTCTTTTTAAAGGCTATCTTCAAGTTGATCATCCTGTTACATGTGAAAACATCAAATGTTACTCACATACTCAAATAATTACCTGAATCAAAAGTTATAGTTTTTTTAAATAGCCTGCTTCCTTTAATTGTGCTCCAGGTATAGTAAATGTGGTTGAAGAGAAATGAAGAAAGTTCTTAAAACATGCTATGTTAAATGAAACTTTGTCATTCAATGTTAATTGTGACCACAACAAAAATGTCTGTGAAGCTACAATAACAATTACCTTTCTGTGTAAACAAACCATAATGAAGCATGATATGAAAAATTTAATCTCACCCAGTTTGAATGTAGAATCAAAAACTAATTAACTTTCTGGTGAAAAGGAAAAGCCTCAATGTGCATTTCCTGCTTCAATCATTCTAAATATCAAAAAACAATCACACCACCACTTTAGTGAAATTTTTTTGGACAATGTGTACTTTTTCTTATGGTTAGCTGCTTTTAGTATCTATCTTTTACCAGCTGAGATCTGAGAAGAATCAAGTCCACATTGGTGATTTGACACAATGTTAGCAAACCCTAAAAAAAATGAAGGGAGGAAATTTAGCTTGCACAATTCAAGTTTCCCTTCTTAAGTATTTTGTGATCTTTTTTCTATCATGTGGTAAAGTTCACATTTTCCCTCATTTCACTGTCTTCTCTTCATTTGCTTCTTTGCTGTCCTAACAATCTTAACCATTGCTGCCAACAAATGCAAGGAGCATGTAAAATGTGTACAGTTATTAGAGACATCATGTAATCAGTGTTATAAATGTAGAGTAATGCTTGAATATGTGATTGCAGTTGAAGTTCAGTGCCTTCAGTAGCTTTTTTGGCCATAAAGATTAACAAAGAACAACAGAAATACCAAAAAATATTCATAGAGACACCTCTATAATGAGTGAAGCATGTCAAGCATTAAGGTACATGTATGATTCTCAATTTGCTTTCATTAATTGCAAACAGCTTATTTCTAGCAGCTTAGAAAACCTCTGTATCTCTGCTTTCAAAAAAAGGCATTTCCCATGAAAATTCAAACAATAAAGACATATCAAGGTACCAGCAACAGGTTTTTCCATTGTTGTTTCATAAGATCATAATCTCATCAAATTTTTTTACTATTGTAATCACAAGTATATTTTATCATTACAATATGATGAAATCCCCCATTTTAAGACACATATGTAGTCATATGTACGAGAAACACAGCAAATAGACATAACATAATACTCCAGTAAAGTGTTCTTAAGTATTGTGAAGTTTCAAACTCAATGAAAATAAGTTGTCTTCATGATTCAGATTTTAGTTGAAGAAATGTGTAATACCTCTTTAAAAGGATGAAAAGGGAATGCCATTTATTAATTTTAAAATAGTAAATGCCAAAAACTTAAAGATGTAAATTAAAAAAAAAAGCAATTAAAATATGGCTTATCTATTTACTGAGATTTTAATCATTAGCTGGCATATGGAGATCTAAAAAAGGCTTTGTGAAAAAAACCAGGGCAATGAAATTAAAGATTCATGAGAAGCATATGACATTAACTAATTTGCTGATGTTCTCACCTGAATTCAATCTAGAAAGAGAACTCTGCAACACTTCTATTTCATCTTCTCACACTTTAATTCGGGTTGGGGAGGAAACTAAAGGAATGGATATATGTTACATAAAAGGAAACATATTACAATAAAATGAAGCCGAAGCATATTACCTACATGTCTATCTTATGAATACAGCTATAAAAGGTATTTTTTGTGCTCTTATCTACATATGTAAACCGGGTGCAATATAAGGTCGCAAAAGCAATTTTATTCTAACCTTCCTCCTTGAAGGGTGCCTTGTTTATTAAATTTATCAAGTTGCTTTTGGAGCTACAAAGTAATAAAATAATCAACGGGTTATGCCAGTTGGCCAATTTATCAAGGGTCAACTAAGTATAGTTTCCTAAAATCGTATAGAGAGTTTAAAGTGTGCTTCATTTGTGCTACATATACGGGTTTATCGTTCAGATTGATTGATTATCTCTTATTCTTCCTAAAGTGGTATCCTTCTTTTATAAAAATGAGGGTAAGAGACGATTTGTAATCGCATTCAAAATTGATTGGCTTGTGTTACTTTTCACCTCTGCCACGAACACAACTTAAGTGAGTTTCGAGTCTTTGTTTCCTCGACAACTTTCGGCCACAAATCGTGCATTTGTAATACGACAGATTCTTGTCGATTATTTCTACATAGAGTGAGCTCACATCATTATTTATATCACCATCAGAACATGGATCCAAGGTATCCATCATCCAGAAGTATGCAACCAGTCTCAGAAGTCAGAATAAAGTTGTGCACTTCTCTGGAGACTGCCATCGGGAAAGCCAGCGGATTCACTTTGCTAGCCAATGACAAGTCCTATAAGGTCCACGTGATCATGTCCGTGATCGGAAACAAAGAAGACTCCATTTGGCGCTCATCTTTGAATGTACTTTTCATCGGTTGATCGCACGTGTGTTAAGTTATTTCTTTTCTCAACTGTTTTGCTTAATATAACATTTCTAAAGATAGGTTTTATTGTGGCTCAATGGGAAAACGAGAACACCGTGAGTGTTGTAAATGAAAAGAAAATCGTTGGCGCCGTGGAGTTAAAAGAAGGGACAACAGTTGACATATTGACTGGTACAAACAAAGGTCGAGTGGCCATTTATGAAGCTACGATTTTGAAAGTTTGTGGTGAGTAAAAATTGCGATATTCGTTACGTGATCAAAATCTTATCAAAGAATAGATATAACGGCTTGAATTAAGCTTACATAACGCTCGGCGCAACTGAAACTAGAATAATTCTGAGAATCGAATCGTGCACTTGCATGCCGCAGTTTCTTAAGCTTATGCTTTACAACAAAATAAATATATCAGTAAGGTTTCAAGATTACTTTAGTCACGTTTGGGAACATTCAAGATTCATAATACAAACTGTGATTAAACAAACCCTATTACATAAGAAAGCCCTCCTTGTTAAAAACAAAATAATATGTTCAGCCTTTTTTAGTAATATCTATGGGAACTCCAATATAAAAGTCATTCAATACAAAAGAGATTTCCCAATCCCATTGCACTTTGTTAAGTTGAGATTTCAATGAATGCCCTTTTCCTTTATAGCTATCTAAGGCCTTCTCTGAGCTTTTAATATATATTTATATAAATATATATTTTTTCAAATTCAGATGTCATGGAATCCAGATACAAAATGGTCAAGCTTCTTGTAGACAACCCCTTTCAAGGCCAACAGGGAAAGCTGTGAGCCCAGGAAAAAAAAGACAAACAGCAGCTAAGTCTGCAGTTTAGGATAACTTCATTCTAATTTATTGTTACAGATTAAAAATCAATTCTATTTAACTGTAATTAACCCCT